TAAATTAAAATTTTATCTTAGTTAATTATTATATTTGATAAAAAATTTGAATTTCAAAAACAAAATGTTATAAAAAAAATAAAAATATATATACTATATTTAACATTTTTCAAAAGTTTAGAGGAATTTCGTTGGCCTAGTTAACAGAATATTTGTCAAGTAAACCATTTTGAAACAAAATTGATAGTTTATAGATGATTTTGAAAAAAAAAATTGTTTTTAAACTAAACTAAAATAAACTATATAGTTAATAAACTATTTATTGAATTTAACCAATTATTATCGATAAAGGAACCTGTTAAGAAACGAGGCAATAGTTAGTGGCTGACAATCATGTAAGTCACGTGCCTGTCATTGCTTTGTTAACCCAAATCCTATTGGTAAGAGTGGACACGAAACTGATATTTAATTAATAAAAAATTCTTAGTTTAACTTTAAAGACCAAAATCAAAACCAAAACATATATGACTTTTTAGTCATGTTATCCAAAATTTCGATTCAGTTGACAAGCACTTGCATGTGCGTGTTTGTTATTTGTTTCAATTAAGCTTAAAACTGAAAAAATGGTTTCAATTTCTTCCATGTGTTTTCTTTTGGTTTAATTGGCGTATTGCAGCCATCATTGGCGTTCTATGACCTTAATGGTCGTTTTATGGCTTAAACGGCATTCTGTGGCTTCTATTAGTGTACTATGGCCATCATTGGCATCCTGCAGCCTAAAAATGGCATTCTATGATTATTCATTGCATTCTTGTGGCCTTAAAATAACATTATATGATCATTTATTGCTAAGGTGGGTAAATGGGTAGGCTAGGCCAAGTTGGGTTGAGTTAGGGTCAAGTCAAAAACATGTCATAGGTTAAACGGGTTAGATCAAAATAAATCAAGGGCTATAGAGGCTTAATTTTATAATTAGTCTATTAACTATTAGTTTAATTTAATTTTAATCTAAAAAATTTGTTTTCTTTCTAACTGTCTATGAGTTTTGGAGAATATTTTAAAATAATCTACTGTATAAAATTTTTGTTAGTTTTGATGGAAGAATTAACTTAGAGTTAAAATAACGCAATCCTTTAAGTTTTGAAAAAATGACATTATAATCCAAATAAAATATAATGAATCAAGGAATACTTTATAGAAATAGATTGGTTAGAATTTATAATGAAATTGAGCAACTAGCTCAATTTGAAAAGAAAAACTTAGCAAACTTAGAACAAGAAGCTTTAGGAGTAAGTCTTGAAGATATAATAAGAGTTAGAACTCTTAACTACCAAATAAGAACTAAAAGAGAAAGGAGTTTTTAACACTCATGTGAAATAATTAATTAATTAATTAAATTAGGTATGAGATGACTAATATAAAAAGGGATTTTGATAAGGGACTAAGTTATCTAACTCTTCAATCTTGGGGGACGTTAGTAGCAAAAAAAAAAAAGGAGAAAAAGGGGGAGCACGAACAGATTAAAGGGGAAGGAAAACCTAATTTCCTTTTTGGGGTCTTCGTCTTCTTCCTTTTCTGGTTTTCTTCTCTTCTTCCATCTTAAATTCAAAACCCTTGAAGCCATCAACCTCTTAATCTCTCTCTGATGCTACTTCTTCTCATCAAGATCACTACTTTCTATTCTTCTTTCCTTGTCCATGATTTGAATGCCCAGTGAGTGCTCCTTTTGTAACTTTCTAGTAAGAAATTATCCCAATTGCTTATCTTTTCATCCTTAATTTGAATTGGGTTAACTCTAATCCTTTACAGCACGTTTGGTATACAGGATTGGATTGGATATGATATCATTAAAGGATAAGATTAGACAAGATTGGATACGATGAGACATATTAGAATTCAATGATACGTTTGCTTGATTATTAGATAGAAATAAGATTGGATAAAAAAATATTTATCATATTGACAAAAATATCCCTAATATTACAATTTAATTTCTTATATTTAAAATTCAATTTCTTATTAAGAAAAGGGAAAATGTACTTCTTTGCTGTCCTGAAAAAGTGTACTAATAAATTGTTTCAAACTTTGCTTGCATTTTTCTCTTTGTTTCCAGCATTTTCCTTCTCATTTTCCCAAGCCCCAAACACCTCTATCTACACAGGATGTTGACCACTACACTCGTCTCTCCATTTTCCTCCATTTTCTTTTCCTCTCTAGAACAAACCAGTCGTTTGGTTGCCTAGAAATTCACAGAAAATTAACAAAAAAAAAGAAAAAAAAAAAGAGAGTGAGATTCCATAAAATTAATGAGAGAGAAATTTCAAAATGAATGATTTGAATTCATCAATGGCAACCATCGGAAACCACGCCCACCACATCGATGAAGATGTTGGCATTTAAAAAGAAAAAAAGATCATTTGTGGAAATTTCAAATCGTTTTCCTACATCAAGGTAGCCAATCAATGAATTTCTTTCCTTCGCCAACGATATCTCATCTTAGATCTGGGTTTTTAGCAATTCTCTCATGCTAACCGCAAAATCCAGTTGGAGTTCAACTATCTTTTGGCGCTTGTTTTTCACTTCTTGACAACAATTTCATCTTTAGCAGGGGATTTGAAAAGGTTGATGTCTTGCGTTGATGAACTACTTAACTGGAATCAGTAGAGGAGAGAAAATCAAAGGGAGAGAATGAATTTTGGGAGAAGATGATAAGGGGTAGAAAAGTAAAAAATAATCTTATCCTACTAAATCCCATGGGGGTGATGTGATATTTTTTTATTAAAGGATGAT